TGTGTGTGTGTGTGTGTGTGTGTGTGTGTGTGTGTGTGTGTGTGTGTGTGTGTGTGTGTGTGTGTGTGTGTGTGTTCTCCACTGACATTATTAGCATTCAAATAACACTGATTTGCATATATACCAAAAGGATATGCCTTGAGAATTAGTATGTGAAATTTGCTGATGTTCTTTTTGTTATCTGTTTTAATCTTAATTTCTGTTAAACTCAAAATTAAAAAAAAAAGTCAATAGTAAATTAAACTGCATACTTGTGGCAACAAAAAGTCCTCATGCAGCAATATTTTCTTATACTCTAGCAATGATTAAAGGATTCAGCCTTTCCATATTATGTCCTTTTTATAGTGTTTTTTTATGCAATGAAGAAAGAATGAGAAAGTCAAAACAAAAAAATAAGAATGCCAAAACAATCTAGAGAAAAATGTTTTTCTTTGAACAATGCTTGATATGGTCAAACAGATTAGGCATTAATACAAAGGAGAATTATTCACATTATGGACACAAGACATCTGTCATTTTAGGTACTTAACTCATAGTACAAAACTGGGTATCTGAAATTCCATGTCATATTCTCAGATTTATAAAAAGTGAATAGGATCATGTACCCGCAAACCTATTCAGTGTAACAGAAATAACTTCAGGCTTTCTACATGGTCTAATCTACCCCTAATTTTTCTATAACCTTGTAGGCACTGATTTCTAGTTACACACTAAACAAAACCTAGAAAGCCAATAACAAAACACATGGATATCTATGTGCTTTACACATATGCTTACATACATAATAACAATATGCAAATTATCTACACAATGTACAATAATATACACATAATTTCCTAAACATTAAAACATGTATATTGTAAAAATTATTAAGTATTCTACAATATAATAGCTACTACTTTAAGCACCAGTATAATACCAGTGTCTATCAAAATATTTTTTCTATCCAGTCATTCAAAAAATGAAATAAAATAAATTAAAATGATATAAAATGAAAACAAAAAATAAAAATCAAGACTCAGTAGGAAAGCATGGCATGAAATAACATCAGATTGATAATTGCTAAAAAACATGGTTGAAAGGAAGTGATTTTACAGCCTCTGACTTCAATCAACTCAGTATTACTATTTCATAATAATAATACTGCATGCTGGACATACAAAGAAACTTAATGAAGTCTGAATATATTATTCTTTAAAATAAAATTATCAAATATTTTTTTGTGTGTGTGAATTTATAATATTGTGTCAATTTCGATTTAGTTCTTATTAAAGTCTTTAGTGTAAATGAAGATATTTTATAATCTTTAAACAGCATGTCATATCCTTCATTTCCTGTGAGCGGCAGCAGCAGCAGCAGCAGCAGCAGCCACTTCCATTTTCTTCTGCTCACTTCCCGCAGCCACATATGAGAACACACACAGGACAGCATAACATATCTGATCAGCCTGAAAAAAAGATCATCAGTCACTGGATTTATTAATTACATATGATGTTGATAGTTTCTTGGCTGTAAATATAAATGCTGACACTGTTCCATCTAAATTTTAAAATTCTTTCTTTTGGTATCAAAAGCTGCCAAGACTGTATAATCATCAGTCACTTACCTAAAAACAGGGAAGTTACTTATCACCTGGAAACATTTTTATTCTCTATCAAATAAATTTGTTTTAAATTGAAGCAATTAAAAATATAAACATAATATTTTGACTGCAATGAATCTTCTACCTTATTGATAAATATATCTACTTACCATTGCTGATTTATATTTCCGCTGAATAACATGACGTGTTTTAGGATCTGAAATAAATCATCAACAATAGTAACTCCACCAATGCTACATGTTTGAACAGAATTCATATTTGATTGTAAAATATGAGAAAATAGATGGAATAAAATTTTTACACTAACTGGAAAACTAAAAATTATATGTAATTTCTTTAGGACTGCTTTTCACAAATCAAGGAAATAACGTTTTCTTGATTCAAACAGAAACCAGTTATCAAGAAAAGTTACTTACTATATTCCTCCAAAACAAATATTCCACCCTTTTGAGTGAAGCACTTTCTGATGTGGTCCAACCGAACAAAGAACTGGAAAAAATAACATCAGAAAAATCTTATAAATTTATCAAACCTGTAGGCTATGAATCTTTACAGGAATGTTAGTGTTCAACAAATGCAGATATCAATTCATAACCAACTCCTTCAAATTATGTTTATGTATGTACTATTAGGTTTTACATTTTAGAAGGAGAATGACAGACTACAATGTTACCAAATACTAGATACAAAGCATTTCAGTTTTATATATTTGTATAATAAATGACTGGCAACACATGGACAATTCAAAAATAACAATTATTTCTGACTCAACTTTACATTTAATTCAATGTATATATACACAAATTATTTGCAACACAGAATAAAAGCTCTATTAATCACTACAGCAGAATAATAATAAGGGAGAACTACATCAGAATAATAATAAAAAAAAATACTGAAAAACTGAAAATCAAACCTTATAGACTTGTGGACAAAGTTTTCGAAGGTAGTAAATACCAATAAAACAATATCCTTTAAGAATGCGAATTTCATACATTACAGAATAAATTGTAAATATTGGTTAAGTTGTACAAAATAAAAAAAAATATAAATGCTTACATACATACATACATGTTTAAATATATATAATATATATATATATATATATATATATATATATATATATACATATATATATATATAATATATATATATATACATATATATACATAC